GCATTCTGGGTAAAGTTCAACAGAGCGAGAGACGAAGTTGTCTTTAGTGAAGCACGCTCGAATTTTTGCAGGTAATAATCATATCGATCCGCCTCAAACTCCTCATTGTTGAAGTACTGGAAAATACTACTATGAAAACATGCAAAAACTTTAAGCTGATTTATGTTGTGATTAAGCAGAACTTTACTTGACCCTCTGAAGATTAGGCAATTGTCACCTTAACCGTCTCATAATTAATGAGCGAGTCCACTGCTTTGTTTCCGGCATCGTTATCCGCTTGGTTCATTTCATGACGAAACTTGGTACGCCACCTGGAATAAAAAATGAGAGACGCCTTGGACCCGTGATAAGTAGGAATTACTGTGTAATCGCCAGCGTAGCCGTTGCATACATTCCTACACTACCGAGAGTCATGTAAGCAAATTCTGGGCCAAGTGAGCCGCAAAAAATTGCAGATACCTGAAAGGAAATGCTTATAAGGACTTGAAACTGATAAAAGTTAATGATATATTCGACCATTGAGATTTCCACAGCAGTAGGGATGACATTGAAGACTAGAGAAGCTAGAACGAAACTCATACCTCTCGTACCACGATCTTAAAGGAAAAGAATAAATATGGTCAACAAGTTGTTATGATGATTATAAAGATTTCTACTTCGTTTACAAAGGGTCTTTTACAGACCCATATAGATCTAGCTCAAGCGAGATTCAACCTTTTTACAAAATTGCTACTGCAGCATATAAGCAAGTTGGTAGAATTAGAATAAAGAAATTCACCTATTGCTTTGGAAAGGGCGCCTGTTTGACGATTCAAATGGAAGGAAAGGTCGAGGGAGTGTAGATGAAGAAAAATGTTTCTTGCTATTTGTCTCACTGAATTTTGAGCAACTCTGGCAAACACTGCATTTCTCAACTCGTTCATCAAAGAAGATGTCGCTCTCGTAACACCATCTGAAACGTTCAATTACGAGGAGCAAGAAAACTAACTGACTGATATCAATACTCACAAGCGATGATAATACAAACTCCAACTGTAAGAATC